AGGAGATGCATACTGCCACAAATGTTCTCCCTAATTTAAGACTTTTCTTTAATGAAGAGTCTCAAGCAGGTTAAGCAACTGCAGCTATGTAAAAGTGACTTCTCCAAGCCTCAGTTTCCGCATCTGTAAAGTCAGAGATTATTTCCAAACTCCTTTTCAGCTGAAAGAATTTTATAATTCCATCTGGGATGAATCAGCAGAGCCTCTACTGGGGTATATGGACAAGAGTCTTTAATCCCTTTTCTAATTCTCCAGGATTTTACGTGGGGAGGGAGTAGAGAGTTTCTCTGACCCCACGTGATGGGAAAGGACACAGCTTTTTTACTTCGTTGTCATCTCTCTTACTAAGATATCACCAATGTAGGTGTCATTTTATCTTCTGGCTTGTAATTATCTGTGTCTGTTCGGAGACTTGTTTTCAGCCAAGGGCAGTGCTTAGACAACCAGCAAACCCAGAGTTCCTCAGCAAAGAGAAAACTCGATATTTTAGTGTTTCTTATCTGGCTGCTAAGTGTAGATTTTGTTTATTCTGAGATTATTCTGAAAATCATTTGCTCCAAGGGCCAATGCCCTTTGCACAGTAGAGGTCAGCACTTCTCCACATGTGGTCCAGAGGAAGCTGGAGGTAAATGTACATTCCCTGGTCCCGCCCGCCCTTATAGAATCAGAATCTTTGGGGGTGGGGTCTTGGGGAATCTGTATTTTTGACAAGCTCCTTATGGATTCTTAAGCACACTGAAGTGAACCCTTGTTCACACTCAGTGAACTAGGGCAAAACCTTTTCTTAGAGGGATGGCAAACACAAGTGCCTACACAGACCCAGCAGAAAATGCAAATGATCTGAAAGAAAAGCCACTGTGTCATGATAAACTGCACTAGGACACTTGGCCTTGGGGTCAAGAAGAAAGTAGGATGTGTGAGGCAGGGAGAGGGAGGGGACCTGGAGTCCATGTGCCCAGCCCAAGCAGCAGCCAGCCTCAGCTTCTGCTGGGTTTTGCATTGATGACTGTGGATCCACCTTGATGAGCTCTTCCCACGTCCCAGAAGAGCAAAAAATCTGAATCTTTCTGTGAAGTATTCCAATTTTTAATATGGGCTTAAAATGTTTATGGGCTACGAATTCAAAATTGTTAAAGGCGTTCCATCAGTGAAGCAACATGTCTAATTCATTTCAAGGTTAATCCATAGAAAGTTCACACCATTAAAGCAGTGGTTTCAACTTCCAGAACACCTGGAAGTCATGGTACCCTTTGCAGCACATTATAATCCGTGGTCATCTGGAGGTCTTAAAAAAAATACTGTGGACTCCACTCACTCCAGTATAGTCAGAACTGCTGGGGAATGGGTCCAGGCATCATTTGTTTTTACAGCTTTCCAGGTGATTCTAACGTGCAGCCAGGGTAGAGAAGTACAGCCACACTGATAAATACAGCCCCTTCACTGGAACCAGCAGAAATGATGTATACAAGCAAAGGCACACCTAGCAGCCCAGGTGTCTGAACACGTTTTAAAAGGCAATTAACTAAACATGGTCAGCTATTTCCTGGTTTTTCCATGCATACTATACACAAATATTCTTTGCTTGTGTTTTGCCCCCTAAAGCAAAATGGAGAAAATGGCATTCATCAATATATGTTTTTCTGTGCAATGGAAAAATTTGCTCATGATTTAGTTTGTAAAGGTGGGACCCTCTAGTCCAGCCCTCAATAACCCTAGTGTTCTGCAGAGGCATGGCTGAAGAACCACAAACTCGTTTGCAGTGGGTCAATGTCTGAGGCATAAGTTGACACTCTAGGCCCATTTAGTGGAATCTTGCCATAGTCTTTTCATGAAACCATCTCCATGAGATGATCTCCCAAATCCCTCCCAGCTTCCAGAGACTCTGCTTCAGTAAATGAGGTGTGTTCAGCCGACCTGGATTCAAACCCCACCTCCGCCAACTAGTTATGTGACCTTGGGAAAGCCATTTAACCTTTTGAAGCCTCAGTTTTCTCATTTGTCAAGTGATAAATTTTATATGTTTTCATTCTCCTCAAGGGTTGTTAGAAGGTCACGTGAATTAATAAAAACTCGATAAGACACAGCGCTAGTGCATCCAGCCTGGGCAACAGAGTGATACTCTATCAAAAAAATTAAAATTAAAATTAATTTTAAAAAGAACTGCCTGGGAAATTAAAAGAAAATGTAAATACAATCTTCTTGACTGGATGCACTAGCGCTATCTCAGCTCACTGTAGCTTCTGCCTCCTAAGTTCAAGCGATTCTCGTGCCTCAGCCTCCCAAGTAGCTGGGATTACAGGTGCCCACACCACACCCAGGTAATTTTTGTATTTGGAGTAGAGGCGGGGTTTCGCCATGTTGGCCAGGATGGTCTCGAACTCCTGACCTCAAGTGATCCACCTGCCTCAGTCTCCCAAAGAGCTGGGATTACAGGCATGAACTACTGTGCCTTTAAAATGTTTAATTTTAAATAATAGGGATACGTCCTCCCTATGTTGTCCAGGCTGATCTTGAACTCCTAGGCTCAAGCGATCCTCCCGCCTCAGTCTCCCGAGTAGCTGAGATAACACCACCACACCTGGCTAATTTTTGTATTCTTTACAGAGATAGGGTTTCACCATGTTGGCCAGGCTGGTGTTGAACTCCTGAGCTCAAGCAATCCGCCTGCCTCAGCCTCCCCAGGTACTGGTTGGGATTATAGGTGTGAGCCACTGCGCCAGGCTGCCAATTTTTTTTTTTTTTGAGATGGTGTCTCACTCTGTCACCCAGGCTGGAGTGCAGTGGTGCAATCTCAGCTCACTGCAACCTCTACTTCCCAGGTTCAAGTGATTCTCCTGCCTCAGCCTCCCAAATAGCTGGGATTACAGGCATGTACCACCATGTCCGGTGAATTTTTATATTTTTAGTAGAGATGGGGTTTTACCATGTTGCTTAGGTTCCAATTCTTTTTTAATCACTAGCAATTGTGTCGAAGCTTTGCTTGCTAGTGTCGAGCTGCTATGTCAGCTAACTCCTGAGTGACCCTGGCCAGGATCCTCTGGACAGCCATTTCTCCCTCTGAGGAGGGTTGTGCATCATGACTCCTGATGTTCCTTCTAACTCATTGGAAATCTATATATCCCAGTAAGAGAAAATGACCTTTCCCATCTCTTTCTTGAAATCTTAAAATTCTCCCCAGGAGGAATTCATCTTGAGGAGCAGATTATGATTGATAGGCTGGAAGAAACCAGAGGATGGCCACTGGGATGTCCCAAGATCTCTCCTAGCTCATAACTTACCCTATCTCCTGGCTTCCCACCACCTTGCCCCCACTCTGACTGTCCTCACCAGCAAGTGCCATTTTTCACCTTGCTGCTTTTTTAACATCAAGGTGCATGTTGCACTGATTTACTCTTTATTCCTCTTGTAGATAGTCACTGGAGGTGTTCTATTTATTTATTTATTTATTATTTTTTGAAACAGTCTCCCTCTGTTGCCCAGGCTGGACTGCGGTGGCACAATCATGGCTCCCTGCAGCCTGGACCTCCCGAGCTCAAGCGATCCTCCCAGGAGGTGCTACTGTAACTGAAGCCATATTGATGACAGCTCCTTCGAGACCCAGCTCTGTTGTCCTTGACAGGGTTGCCAGTGCAAGTAGCTTATCCACATTCAGAGTACTTCAGACTTGTAAACCTATACATTACTTTGCTATCACTGATTTCTCTCCTTGGTTCTATCTGAAATAGTTTAGGGAATTGTTGGCGGTATTTGTTCGTTCAAAGCCAATTATTAATCAGGGCATCATTAGCCAGCATTCACACATTTGTTTTCCTAACATCTGTTCCATTAATTTTCTAAGAACTGGTGTCAGGCCCACCAGATGGCAATTTCCAGAAACACTCACTCATCCTTTCCTAAAGATCAGTAGCACATTTGCTTGTTTCCAGGCCTCTGATCCTTCCTGCCTTGTCCGTGACTTCCTAAATCACCCCTTGGGGCAATTATAAGCTCATTCCAACCATGTCCATTATGTGTGGAATCTGGGTCTATGAGCTTGAATTTCAACTTCGGGCTATTGTTACCATTTGTGCAGAAAGTTTTTCTCTGGGTGTTAATACTGCTCAGACCTTGAGGCTGTCAAATGTACAGGAGGAGAGAAAAGACAGGTTCTTTCTCTTCCCATTATCTGACTCGGAAGGGTGGGAAAGGGCATTTGCTACTGTGTCTTGTGGATAGGGATGAAGAGGCCAGCAGGCGACAGTGTCTGGCAGAGCATGTGCTGTCAAGGAAAGAGAAAGGAGCCAGTGGTGACACACCAGCTTGGTCTGAGGAAGCGTTTTTGTTTCTGCCAGACTCATGATGTGGGCTCTTTGCTATATAAACCCTGCTTTCTTGGGTCTAAAACACAAGGTTGAGATGTCACTCTGCTGTTCAAACACTTTCAGTGACTCCCTACTGTTAATGGGTTAAAATTTAACCTTTCAGTCTGACAGTTGGACCCCAATCTACCATCTTGCCCTTTCTCACCTGGCTCCCACCTGCAGCTTCCAGCCCCTCTTACTTGCATTTCTTCCCCTCCCTGCCTTTGCTTCCAGCAGTCACTCCATGTAAAATTTCTTTCCTCTCCATCCTCAAATCCTCTCAATTTTCACCTCATCCATGAAGTGCTCCCTGCCGTTTCCCTCTTTGGATTTTCTGCAGCAACTCCTGGGCTTCTCTAAAAACCACTGGTTTCCTATCGCTCCCCTCACCTGTGTTCCTGCATTGTGACATCTTCTGGGCACTCTGTGCTGTTATTTCTGTCTGATCCTGTTATTTGGGCCCATGTATTAATACCCCCCCATATTAAACCATAAGCCTGAGGCTACAACTTTTTGAATTTTGAAATTCACCTTGGCGATGACCTTGAGCAGTAGGATATAAATAGCTCCCATATGCCCAGTGTTCCAATAATGGAACGCTAGGCATAAATAGATTTTCATCCCCTTGAAGGCAGGGGTTGTGTCTGTTCACGTTTAGCTTCCCAATGTTAGCACCATGCTTGGCCTGTAGTAGCTGCCCAATACATTTTTGGTGAATGAATGAATGCCCGAATGAGCAAACACATGAATGAATCAACTAGCTGTAAGATATATAAATCACTAGGTTGCTGCTGTCTTTCTAGAATCAGTATTTTCTCAAAAAGCAAGAACAACAGGCTGGAGAGCTTACCAGAACTGAGATGTCAAGGCAGAGGGAGGAAGGGGTGATTCAGTTTGACTAGCCAGTCTCTAGTGCCATGTCGTGGAGCTCTGAGGCCACACTGCTCCTTGCTCAGGACTGTGTGTGATTCTAGGACCACCAAGAATCTTCCTCCCATCTCCACCTTGAGGTCCGAGGCCTCAATCCTCTAGGAAGGTGGCAGGCAGGACGGTGGCCACTTGGTGCCTGTCTGTTGGCAGCACGCTGTTCCTGCATGTCTTGCTCATGCTGTGCCCTCTGCTTTATCTCCTAGACGAGCTGGCTGTCTGCCCCAAGGGAATTACCTCCAAGGTTTTCCGCTTCAATGTGTCCTCAGTGGAGAAAAATAGAACCAACCTGTTCCGAGCAGAATTCCGGGTCTTGCGGGTGCCCAACCCCAGCTCTAAGCGGAATGAGCAGAGGATCGAGCTCTTCCAGGTAACCCCTCTCTCAGAACAGAAACCACACTGACGGGAAAGCCACTTCCTTTGCCATATCAGGCCACCACTGAGTTTGGCAGACCTGGGTTTGAATCCTGGCTTCTCTGATCTTTAGTTTCTGTATCTGTGTCTGTCATTAGGAGGCTTAAGAGTTACCTAAGGTGCTTGAGGGGCATGGCATTCAGGAACCGCTGGTTTCCTATGGCTCCCTCACCTGTGCCCTGCATTATGACGTCTTCTGGGGCATTCTATCCTGGCCTCGGGTACTCACTCCTTTCTCTGCCTTGTAGATCCTTCGGCCAGATGAGCACATTGCCAAACAGCGCTATATCGGTGGCAAGAATCTGCCTACACGGGGCACTGCCGAGTGGCTGTCCTTTGATGTCACCGACACTGTGCGTGAGTGGCTGTTAAGAAGAGGTAGGTGGATCCTCAGGTCCCTTAGTCCTCCATGAAACAGAGGGAAGAGGACAGAATTAAAGGAGTCAGAGATCTGGGTTCAAACCCTAGCTTTGCCACTGAGTATTCTCCATTCATTCACTCAACTAATGTTTATTAAATGCTCACTGTAAGCCAGGCCCTGGGGATGCAGCCACAGGGATGGGAACTATGAGAAATAGAAAGAGGGCAATGTGATGATGACTGGGTGGGGCCCAACAGAGAAGCTCTCTAAGATGAAGAAATTGATGCATTGACATCTGAATGATAAGGAGCAAGCCCATGAAGATCAGAATGTGGGATGTGCTAAGCAAGGAAACAGCGAGGCCCAGGCCCTTGGGTGGAAATAAGCTTGATTTGTTCTAGCAACAGCAGCAAACAGATTGGTGTGGCTGGACCATAGTGAACTGGGGTGGGGGGGAAGGGGGGAGATAGGGGAGAGGTGGTCAGAGAGGTTGTTAGGGCCATATCTTTTATTATTTTTTTTTTTTGAGACTGCATTTTGCTCTGTTGCCTAGGCTGGAGTGCAGCGGCACTATCTCAGCTCACTGCAACCTCCGCCATCTGGGTTAAAGAAGTTCTCATATCTCAGCCTCCCTAGTAGCTGGGACTACAGACGCATGCCGCCACACCTGGCTAATTTTTTATATATTTAGTAGAGACGGGGTTTCACCAAGTTGGCCAGGCTGGTCTTGAACTCCTAACCTCAAGTGATCCGCCTGCCTCGGCTTCCCAAAGTGCTGGGATTACAGGTGTGAGTCACTGTGCCTGGCCAATTTAATTTAGAACATCAGGTCATGGCGAGATTTCAGGACTTATGAAGCGTGGGAGTGCTATAACCAGAGCTGAGGATACTCAGGGTACCCAGGAATTCCTCCCTATCCCCCTGCTGAGCATGAAGTCAAGAGCCTAGGAGAACGCGTGTGAATCTGCCTACAGCAGCTCTGTTGGAAATTCTGACTCTGACGGCTACAGGGAGGCGGGGTTGTCTGATGCTATTTGATTGACATCTTTAAAAGATCCCTCTAGTTTCCAGGGGGTCAAGGGAAGAGGCAGAAAAACCAATTAGGAGCCATGGGGGCAGCCCAGATGAGAGCAATATGGGCTGAGACTGGGGTGGTAGCGTGGACGTGAAGATCATATGGATTTGTACTGTATTTTGACAGTAGCCAGTAGCACAGGCTGATTAGATATGGGGTGTGAGGAACCAAGAGCATTCTGGATGACTTCTACATTTTTCGACTTCCAGGTGGTATCACTTATTGAAATGGGGGCTTAGGAGAAGAACAGGTTCTGTTCTGGCCAGTTAAGTTTGAAAGGCCTGGTCATCATGCAATCAGGGCTATCCTATAGGCATTATCAAACTTCACATGTCCCAAATACCTTATCCACGCATTGTCTTTCCTCACCTGGGAGAAAAGGCAATGGCTTCTCCTCTGCATGCCTCACAGAGCTGTTTTAAAGATCAAATGTATTTGAGAGAACTTCATGGTTTTTCCCATGTTTTACAAGAATAAGCTTTTCATATTTTAGATGAGGGAACAGGCCGAGAGAAGTGACTTGACGGGGGTCGTCCAGTCTGGATTAGAACCTTGGTGTCTCACGACACCATTCTCTGTGTTTTTCCTTTTCCTTGGCTGGTACTGCCTGGTCTCATTGCTCAGTGGGCTGGGGTCACAGATGGCAGTCCCATCTGTTCTTCTCTCCCTCTTGGGAAGGGTTTTTATCCTGTCATCAGCTGCTGTAAAGCCACAGTCTATCCACATATTGATGCCCAGAGTCCCTGAGGCAGGTGGATCCTTCTAGGTCCTTGGTGTTTTGGCCTGCATATTGTTTTCAATTTGACTAGTCATTAGCAGTTTTGGGTGTTTTATTAAGTCTGGAGATTTCACATAAAACCTGGACTTCTAGCTGTTTTTGAAAAATTGGAAGATTTCTTGATAACCAGCCACCAGAGATGAGTACCAGCCACCCCTGGAGATGGGGCATGCATCCCACAGCCCCCACCATTCACTATTGTTCCCCTAGAGTGAGGCTGGCAATTCCTGTTTAATGTCATGTGCTGGCTCGATTTTCTCACGTGACATGTCTGGGCTCTGGAGGCATCAAGTTTGCATTGCTTGATGCCCACAGAGCCCAGGCAGGTCGCATAAATGAGAAAATTCCCCACCCAAGGGGAATTATCTGGGGGCTGAGTTGGGAGTTGGTGGGCTGGAGATCCTGCCCCAGTCCCAAGGGTACCCAGGAATTCCTTCCTGTCCCTGCTACTGAGCATGAGGGCAAGAGCCTAGGAGAACCCATGTGGTGCAGCTCTGTTGGGAATTCTGACTCAGACAGCTACAGAAAGGAGGGGCTGGGGAAATTAATCTCTTAACTTCCCTGTCTGATTTTGATCAGCTCCACCTGGATTTCTTTGAAGCCCTGGGCACTTGAAGGAATTCTTATTTTCACAGCTGCAGAACTCAATGAGAAGTTTGCATTGAGAATAATTTCCATCCTCCTGAGACATCAAAAAGATAATTTCGTAATAAAATCTATGGGTCCCCCACCCACCATCCCCACGGCTGCCAATTCTGAGGTTAGCTCTCCATTGGAACCTGCAGTCCCCACTTAGGCAGATATTACCCACCTTTCCCACAGGGAAATCATCACAGAGGTTTCTACTTATAGGGAGCCCATGAGTCTCCTCAGAGTTCATGGCTTCAAACCAGGCAGCAAAGGACTCCAAATTGGAACAGTTGGCGGTGTGAATTGATAATGAAACTGTGTCACACATGTGGTCTTGGATTCATTCAGCAAACATCTGAGAGCCCTTGTACACCCGGTACCCAGGTGCATTCTGGGTCCCAGAGTTGGTTAGAGCCCACCAGGGTCACTGGGGACCCAAGTCTCATACCCTTGTGCTGTTGCTCATATAGTCTGCAGCACCCAGCTAGGCAGGGCCAGGCCTCCCCTAGCAGGCTGGGCAGGGAGCCTCTCAGCATCATGGCTCAGGAAAGGTGGAACACTGGGAAACAACCATCTTGCATCTCAGTGAATGTGTGGGCATCTTCCTTGGTGGTCTCCGTGTGCACTCTCCCCAACACCGCTGCTTGCACCTTGACTTTCTAACTCACAGAATCATAGAACTCACTCTAGGTTTCTTCCAGCAAATCAATCACCTAAGCTGTAGGCTGACCCTGAATCCAAGAGATCCATCCCCCATGACCTCTCCTACACCTGGCCACAGCTGACTGCTACCCCAGCATCAACAGAGCCTCCCTAATTGAGTCTTATCCACCAGAATTGACACGATACCAGATCTACCTGGTTTTCCGTGTAAATCTGCTTGTCTCAGTGCAAACTTTTCATTTTCTTTCTTTTTCCTCCACTTCACTCAACCTCATTTACTGAATTCCCCGCTTCCTTGATTTTGGTTGCCAAAACACATGATCCCACAACTACTAGGCAAATGGGCCAGACTCACCCTTCATGCACCAGAATGTCAGACACCAAACCCTGGCACCTCCGGGCTTCATCATGCACACTCTCTCCATGCTCATGTTCTCTGGGCCCTTGGCTAAAGTTCTCTGTCATCACCGCTGGGCTGTTTTCTAAGTTCACAACTGTCTTCCCAACCTGTACATCTTGATGAGCTATCCACATTCCAACTTCCCATCATGGTGAAACAAGGATTTCCAAAGAAGAAATGTCCACGTAATTTTTACCTCGTTGTGTCCTTGTTTCTTAGGGAAAATATGGCCCAGTGTAACCATCATGTTCATCTTATCTCCTCTGGAATCCACCACTTTCTCTAGACCCACAGTCATGGCCCTGGTAGAAATGCTTGCATCTTCTTAGACAGATTCTGCTTCCTGTTTGCAGGTGACCTTGCCTCTAGCACTGGTTCCTGACTTTGAATCCTTTTGCGAGCTTTACATCCTGTGGCCCTTTGAATTGGTGGCCTTTTGAATCGCGGTCTCTGTGCTTGGAGACTCTTGAGTTACTCCCTGTCTCTTCCAGTCCTTCTGCCTCTTGCCCTCATCCTTCCTCAGTAGGTTGACTCAAGGATCTCCTCTCCCAACAAACACATAGATGGCGTTGTTTTTTCTTTCCTTCCTGCATCTGTGTCCTTTGGCCCCCAAGTAGATAGGTGACAATTTTCTCTTAATAAATACCATGCTTTGAAAGGCAATGATTATGCTCCTTCTCTTTCATGATGACTACTAGCGTACGCCCCCATCTGGTGATTCATAATATAACAGGAATACATAGAACGTGGCAACGTGCGCATGAAGGTCCACTTTGAGCTTTGGAGGCACTTTCTGTCTCCTGTGACCCTCAGTAGAACTCAGTTCTTAAGAGTCCCTACAGGAGCGGAGGCCCTGGCTCATCCCTGCATGGGTGGTAGGGCACACTTCCCCATCACACAGGGGAAGTGTGTGATGGGGAAGTTCTCACTAACTCTGTCTTATTTTGCAGAGTCCAACTTAGGTCTAGAAATCAGCATTCACTGTCCATGTCACACCTTTCAGCCCAATGGAGATATCCTGGAAAACATTCATGAGGTGATGGAAATCAAATTCAAAGGTAACAGAATGAATGTGTATGGTAGGATGGGTTGGGGGTGGGAGTTAAGGTGAGAGGATAGACCAGGAGACCCTTACCAGACCTCTAAAAAAAGAAACCAAGCTCCTTCAGAGAGAGAGAGTCAACTATTTCATACTTGAGTAATTCTGCTTTGCCCCAAAAGCAATGAGTGTAACTTCCAGCTTACAGCTTAGAGGATGCATTAGCCTCTGGAAGACAACGTGGTCTGGTAAGAGTGGTGAAATTGTGTAGGCAAGCCGTCTAGCCTCTGGGCCTAATGAAACGGGATGAGAGTTCCTCTTTCACAGGGTTGTCAGGCAATTAAATGAGATAATGATCCTGGAACACAGTGCCAGCAATGCTCAATAGAGAGGCGTTGTCTTCCCGCTCCCTGAAAGAAGTTAACTTTCGCTGTCCTGAACATGAGTGCTCAGACGACCGAGCTTTCCAGATGTGCAGGGCCTGCCTGACATTGCCCAGGGGTCCTCTGGGTTTGGCTGATTGCTTCAAGCCTCAGGATCTCTGTCTGGTGTTTGGGTAGAGATAGCGAAGAAGAAGTCGTTGAGAGTCATTTCTGGTTTTCCATTATGTTTGCAAGGAACTCAGCCTGGATGGGCCCTGGAGTTCAGGAAAGTTCTCTTTTCCTTTCATATTCCCATTCTGGGTAACTGCGAATGCCTGAGGTGCGAGGCTTGTCTGGGAAAGGGTGCACGCCTCTTTTGGCTCAGCCCTAGATAGTGATCTTACCCTGCATGGGCTCTATTTTAGAGCCTTTTTAAAGTCAAGGATTTGACACCCTAATCACAGAACCTTAGAGCCCAGAAGACCTTCAGAGTCCTAACCTACGGGCCAGCCTAGGATGAAACCTTCCCGTACCTTGTTCATAAAGATTTTCAGAAAAAGGGATTTATGATCCAGGTCTCTCAAGTATCTCACAGACCTGGTGCCCCTTTCTGAGATCTGAGCCCCTCCTGTAGCTATGTAAATTAATTCTTCATGTTCCTGTCTTCGGTGAGAATGGACAACAGGTGGAAGCTGACCTTCACAAAATCGATCTCCATTTAGTTGAGACTTTCTAAGTCAGTCTCCAGTCTAGTTTTTTTTTCAGATGAAATGGGTTGATGAATTCAGGTGTTCTTTCCAGAGCTTTTGCTAAGCTATTTATCATGTGCTTCATGATCTCATCTGAATTCTATACTGAAAACACTTCAAAGACGCTAAGTACAATGTGAATGTTAACAATTCCACAGTTTTGTTTCTTTGGCTCCCATTCAGGCTATCTTAAATTGTGACACCTTAACTTTTTGGTAGGACTCCTGCACTATCTTGATCCATTCACATTTTAAGAGGAAACTCACATCCCAAGATTCTAAGTCTAGAGTCTAAAGTGACAACCCAGGGCTGGGTGTGGTATCTTATGCCTGTAATCCCAGCACTTTGGGAGGCCGAGGCAGGGGGATCACTTGAGATCAGGAGTTCGAGACCAGCCTGGCCAATGTGGTGAAACCCGTCTCTACTAAAAATAGCAAAATAGCCAGGTGTGGTGGCAGGCACCTGTAATCCCAGCCACTTGGGAGGCTGAGGCAGGAGGATCACTTGAACCCAGGAGGCAGAGGTTGCAGTGAGCCAAGATGGCACCATTGCACTCCAGCCTGGCTGACAAAGCGAGACTCTGTCTCAAAATAAACAAATAAACAAACCGACAACCCGGAGGTATGTGTTAGGCACCCACTTAGTAATAGGGATGCTTGATGGGTCCACGAAGATTCCTAGGAATCCCAGCAAGGGCTTTCTGTCACTTGGAAGATGTCTGTAGAGGAGTAGGGGATCTGAACATTGGGCAGCTTTCAGTGGCATCCTTATAATGATGATGAGTTCTTTCGATACTGGCTCCTCTGCCTGCTCTTCCCCTTCCTGCAGCTGGATATCAGAATGAAGACGTACTTGTCCCCCACGCTTCCCTCGCAGACTTCACTGTCCTTCCTCCTGGGCAGTGACGTGACGTGAGGAGGAGGCAGCCTCCAACGGCTCTGCTCTCCTTAGATTGTCGCTTTCCTTCCCTTCTGCAGGTGTGGACCATGAGGATGACCATGGCCGTGGAGACCTGGGGCGTCTCAAGAAGCAGAAGGATCACCACAACCCTCATCTAATCCTCATGATGATTCCCCCACATCGGCTCGACAGCCCGGGCCAGGGGGGTCAGAGGAAGAAGCGGGCCTTGGACACCAATTACTGCTTCCGGTGAGCCTGGGCCCACAAGGGAACCAACATCTACTGCCTGTCTACTGCAGGTCAGGCCCCAGAACCAAGCCGCACTCAACAGAGGGTCCCTGATGCTGTTCACAAACATCTCCAGGAAGAAGACTGAAAATCTATGACAGATCTCTTTTTGCGGTCCCACTGTTTTTCCATAGGCTACCTCTGGAAGGGGCTGGATGAAGTAAATGAGGAAGACTCTATGACGAAGAGTGTTGCTAAAATAGTTTGGATTGGAGTTGCTTGGTCAAAGCCTCTCCATGGTTTTCATGTTTTAAGCACTTGTAGGGTGTGTGTGTGTGAGATTAATGCAGGAGTTTCCATTAAAGTGCTCAGTTCCCTATGAAGGGTCCAAGGATGCTACTGGATGGGAGCAAATAGAGCCATCGCCATTTGAACGGGAAACTGGAGCTAGAGAAATTAACGAATTAGTTCAGAAATTACCAGGTAGCCATAACACAGAGATAGAAAAGACCCAGACCCTCTTATTTAGGAGCAGTTTCACTGCTCATTTATAAGGGGCAGATAAAGCAGGCATGCCAACTACTAAAAGGGACATGATCACACTCATGAGAGGGTCTGAACAATTAAGTACTTTAATTGGGAGTAACACGTTCACCTATGGACACAGGAAAGGCTTCAGAAGGGTGTAGAATTTGAGTAGAGGATTCAAGGATGAGGTTTCGGGATGAAGGGATCTAGGAGGGGAAGCACTGCAGGTAAAGGAAGGAGCATGAGTGAGTCCATTTGGCCTCAGAGGATCCCTGGATAAAACTGGGGAAAATGAACAGGGAAATATTTAGATCTGGAAACCATGTCCTATCAGGACGGTTGGGCTTGGGAAACTAGGGATGTTGAGCTGGAGGAACAGAGAGGCAAGGTAGTTGCTGCCAGCTGTCATGCAGCCATGAAGGCTGGCATTCAGATTTATTTGTGCCATGTGTCTCTATCAGGAATGAATGCTCTTGGCCAGTGACTTAAATCATAGTGGATTTCTTGTTCACAAGAGGCCTGTAGCAGCAGCTTCGGGTGGGTTGGCTGCTTCATGATGCCACTGAAGACTCAGGATTTCTGTCTCTCCAGTCTGCCATGCTTAGTACGTTGGCTTTTCATCCTTTTGCTTTATGGTCACAAGGGATTGCTAGGGCTTCAGGCATCTTGTCCACGTTTAAGACAAGGAGAGAGGGAAGGGGAAGAGCCAGAAGTTTTCCTCTTCCATCTGTTGCTTTTATAAATAATCAAATATCTTTGCCCTGTATATTTCTCCTTGTCTGATAGGTCATTATTGGGTCACATGACCACCACTACTTGCAAGGGAGGCCAGGAAAAGGAGCATCTGGTGTTTTAGATGTGGCAAGGGAAGAAGCGGGTTAGGAAAGGTTACTGAATAGATAATCGATAGTGTCTGCCATGGTGCACCCTTGAAACCCACAAGAAGCCAGATTTTGGCCAATGGCTACCTTTGGAAGTAGCAAGTTCTAGATCTCAGCAGATATTAAGGCAGAGGCCAGATGCCCACTTGGCAAGGGGTATTATTACCAAATGGATCTCTGTAGGCAACAGAACTGAAGGGACCTGATAATCACATTTGGGTGATCTGTTGAACCACAGTTCTAATAGAAGGATATGCCTTATTTGGCTAAACGGCCTTTAGATTCAGTCTCAGTAGTCACCTACTATAGTAGACAAGCTTCATAAACTTACAATTTATTTCTGGCTGGGTGCACGTCAGGAGGGTAACAATGAAACCAACCTCAACAAAGCTGAGTTGGCTAATAACATTGAGTGCTTGGTTTTCTGTGGAGCACTTTACGGCTCTGCTTTGATTTGTGATATAAAAGTGAGCAGGGCCGCCTTTGCCTCTCTACTCTTCCTCATGCGGCGTTTATCTCTGTTTCTTACATCCTTGGGATCGTGGTCTTTAACACATGAATGTGCCTTTCTGGTTTCTTCTGTCCCCTTGAACCTGGGATTCCACTGATCAGAGCCGCCTATGATGGTATGAAAGGACTCCAAGGGAGAATATGAGGGCATTCGTGAAGTTCCTTTGATTGGTGGTTTCTTTTTAAGTTGATTGTCTTTAAATGTTTTTGTTGCAGCAACTTGGAGGAGAACTGCTGCGTGCGCCCCCTCTACATTGACTTCCGACAGGATCTGGGCTGGAAATGGGTCCATGAACCTAAGGGCTACTACGCCAACTTCTGCTCAGGCCCTTGCCCGTACCTCCGCAGTGCAGACACAACCCACAGCACGGTATGGAGCAGGGCTCATGCCATCTGAGGCACTGGGGTTAAAAAGAATGGGTGAAGGATTGAATGTTGGGTGAGTGAATGATGGTCTGGGGTGGGTGAAACCCCTCTGGTGAAGGTTCTGATCTCGGCACCCTGACTCAGTTCCACTCAGTCACCTTCTGCCCTTTTAAATTCCTGCCTCCGTTTCAACCAGCCTTTTTATTTGCTTTGTCTAAAGCTCTCTGTACCACAGAAATTAATTAACTGCCATGTCTCACCCTATGTTAGAGATGTGTGCAGGTGGCTGGCAAGGAACACTGAGGTAGAAAGGCTTCTACCAGAACTTGGATTATTCCAGCCTCTCGAATGTGGAAAAGCTTACTCTGAAAGACAACAAAAAGCATGGAGAAGATGCAAATATGAAATGCTAGGAAGAGAAAGTGAGACAGCTGGGAGTCCATAACCCCTGGAACTAGTTTGTCTTTCCCTCGAGGGGAATCGAAAACAGGGCAGCAATTTGTGAAGCATGTTTCCTTCTAGCTCATTATCTCTGCATCCTGTCTGGGGCCCTACACTCTGGCACTTACTAAATGGTCCAAGGCAATGTTAGTGAGAACATTTCTCATTGAAGTGATCAATTACAGATAGGAAGAGCAATTTAAGAGTTACTTTCTTAAAAGCCAAAATAGGCTGGATGCAGTGGCTCATGCCTGTCATCCTAGCACTTTGGGAGGCCAAGGAGGGTGGATCACAAGGTCAGGAGATTGAGACCAGCCTGGCCAACATGGTGAAACCCTGTCTCTAGCAAAAATATAAAAAATTAGCTGAGGGCGGTGGCACACACCTGTAATCCCAGCTACTTGGGAGGCTGAGGCAGGAGAATGGTTTGAATTTGGGAGGCAGAGGTTGCCGTGAGCCGAGATCATACCACTACACTCCAGCCTGGGCAACAGAGCGAGACTCCATCTCAAAAAAAAAAAAAAAAAAAAAGCCAAGATCGTTATCAGTGTCCCCCAGTAACTGTTCTATGCTTCAACTGATCACCCCAAATAAGTGCAGCTATTCTGCATTCTGTCATTGTGGATGAACAGCAACTACTCACTCACCCAAACCAGGTTCCAACAGTTCCTTCTTTTTTTTGAGACAGAGTCTCATTCTGTGGCTCAGGCTGGAGTGCAGTGGCATGATTTCTGCTCACTGCAACCTCCGCCTCCTGGGTTCAAGTGATCCTCCTACCTGAGCCTCTCAAGTAGCTGGGATTATAGACGCCTGCCACTATGGCCAGCTAATTTTTTTTATTTTTAGTAGAGATGTGGCTTCACCATATTGGCCAGGCTGGTCTCAAACTCCTGACCTCAAGTGATCTGCCTGCCTCAGCCTCTCAAGGGCTGGGAGTACAGGCATGAGCCACCATGCCTGGCCCCCAACAACTCCTCTTAAAGAGCACCAGTGGCCATTCTAGCACTTGCTCAGCCTCTGGGACTGCACCTAGAACCGGCAGAGTTCCTGGGTTCCAGGGCTGAGGCTTGGCTTTCCAACCTCTCACTGACGTGTCCCTTCCCAGGTGCTGGGACTGTACAACACTCTGAACCCTGAAGCATCTGCCTCGCCTTGCTGCGTGCCCCAGGACCTGGAGCCCCTGACCATCCTGTACTATGTTGGAAGGACCCCCAAGGTGGAGCAGCTCTCCAACATGGTGGTGAAGTCCTGTAAGTGTAGCTGAGACCCCACCTGCGACAGAGAGAGGGGAGAGAGAACCGCCACTGCCTGACTGCCCGCTCCTTGGGAAACACACAAGCAACAAACCTCACCGAGAGGCCTGAGCCCACAACCTTCAGCTCTGGGCAGATGGCTGAGATGGAGGTTTCCTTTCGGAACATTTCTTTCTTGCTGGCTCTGAGAATCACTGTGGTAAAGCAAGTGTGGGTTTGGTTAGAGGAAGGCTGAACTCTTCAGAACACACAGACTTTCTGTGATGCAGACAGAGGGGATGGGAAGAGAGGAAAGGGATGGCAAGTCAAGATGTTGTGTGGCAATGGGATTTGGGCTACCCTAAAGGGAAGAGGAAGGGCAGAGAATGGCCCGGGTCAGGTCCAGTCTGGAAGACACTTCAGATCTGAGGTTGGATTTGCTCATTGCTGTACCACATCTGCTCTAGGGAATCTGGATTATGTTATACAAGGCAAGCATTTTCTTTTTTAAAAAGACAGGTTACCAAGACAAAGTCTCAGAATTGTTTCTCGTACTGTCTGGGATTAAGGACAAGTCTATTACTTTTGCAAATTGTCCTCTATATCAATTAGCATCATGGGTCATTACAGGGAGAAAATCCAGGTCATGCAGTTCCTGGGCCATCAACTATTATTGGGCTTTCTGGATATGCTGAATGCAAAAGCAAAGGGTGGGAATTAAACCTCTCCTGTCTGCCCTCTGGGTCCCTCCTCTCACCTCTCCCTCAATCATATTTCCCCTTGGACACTTGGCTAGACGCCTTCCAGGTCAGGGTGCACATTTCTGGACTGTGGGTCCATGCAGCCTTGGGGCATTATGGGTTCTTCCCCCTTCCCCTCCAAGACCCTGTGTTCATTCGGTGTTCCTGGAAGCAGGTGCTGCAACATGTGAGGCATTCGGGGAAGCCGCACGTGTGCCACACAGTGACTTGGCCCCAGACACACAGACTGAGGTATAAAGACAAATACGAATATTACTCTCAAAATCTTTGTATAAATAAATATTTTTTGGGGAATCTTGGCTGATTTCATCTTCTGGAATATTATTTCTAGAACAGTAAAAGCCTTATTCTAAAGTCTATGTCTGACTTCAATAAATATCCTTAAATTACCCTTTTCTTAATTCCACGTCTGCATCTACTAATCAGAGGTAACCGGAATCTGGGGCAGAGAATCTCTCACTTGCCAAACACACCGCTTGGCACGGCCACCCTACACAGGGGCACGCTGTGCTGACTTCTGGCATCTGAGAAGACTGCACTATGGCTTGTGGCCTTTCCTTCTTGCAGAGTATATTATTCTCAGAGACACAGAGGCAGTGGCTCAGATGGGCAGAAAGCATACAAATTTGACCTCCAGATACCTGTAGGCAGAACCCCCTGGTGTGAACACTTGCATATGGAAACATGGTTTGTCCACTAACTGCAAATTACCAACATCACCATTTTTGAAAATCCCCACCTGTATCAGTTGAGAATTAGAGAAAATGTTTATGGCAAATGGCATAAAAGTACGAGGCTAATTCTGTTATCCAGTTAAGCCTGAAAGGGCTAACCAGAAACCCTTTTTCAGACTATGGCCCTCTTGTCAGGGATCTGGGAACCATAGCTCTCTTTTGAGTGAGGCTGTGGTCCCACTGTGGTATGGACACCCATGTGGGGCAGCCGTCTGCAGGGAGCGAGCACAGAGCAAGGGGCCATCTAGCAGCTCCTGAGAAACACATTCCTCTGGTGAGATCACTTTGCCACTGATAAAAGTCTATCTGAAGCTAAAATGTGCAGGCTGGAGGATATGTCTGATATGTTGGTGTCTGTGTGTGCGTGAAGGTATGTGTGTACCTTATTCCCTGTGGAGTTCTCCAAGACAGAAGTGAGTTTGGTCAGCACCATTTTTGTTTCCTGCTTTGTCCATGTCCAGCTAATTCTAAGGGTTTCACTCTCAGTCTTCATCCCATGTGGCACCCACTGACTTCCACTAGTTCAGAGGGCTATGCCCCTGTCCTAAAATCCTGGCCGGCAGGATTATACTCCACCTTGCTCCAGGGAGCCCATGGGCAGAGAGGGGATGCAGTAAGCTCAGCACATCAGCCATGGTCTGCTGCTGTCCCAGCATGTCTACTCACCTGAGGACCATTCTCAAATTCACTGGGCATGATAACCCCTAAGTGTTTATTTAAAATGTACAATTTCAGGCTGCAGCTGTAGAGGTAACTTTAGGACTGTAGTAGGATCCAGGCTGCCTCACAACTATTAATACATTTTGAGAAATGGTACATTATACCTGACATCACTTGTCTTTACTTGAGGCTTCAATATGGAAAAGGGAAATAATTTTTCTGGCCCCAGAAACCTCTCCCTTTTATCCAACTTCACAGCATATCACTGAAACGCTGGCCTGTGGTTCATCCTAATGGACCAAGGCAACTAGATACATTTCCTGGATTATTCCAAAGAAAACAGAACATGGTGCGATTCCAAATGGTCTTTTTCTGTCAGAGCTCTACTTGTAGGTTAGGCAGCAGACATGAATACAGACAGGGTTCTGGAGTCAGCCTCCCCATTCCACACATCACTGACAGGTGCCACCGAACCTTGAATCACTATCTTAAAAAATCTACGCTTGTTTTAGGGGAGGGTAAAGAGTAACACTGGAAATACCACCTCTGTTGGAGGAGGGCTCATAGGATCTGTCTGGTTTATTACCAGGTGAAGTCCTATACCAGTAAAAATGACCTGAAACCGCTTGGACACATGAAGGGAGAGATCTGGCGTCCTAGCAGCTGATCAGCATATGGCAAATGCAGTAAGAAATTAGCTGGAAGACTTAACTCTCACTGGTTATCTAGGGCAATTTCAAGCACTATAGTTAGTCTAAAATATCTTTCACTGGGCTCATACCCTCTTTTCCCTTGTCTCAAGATTCATGTGGTGGTTCCTCCCAAATCCATTATTTCCCAATGCTATACCTCAACAGGGGACTATGGAGGAATTCTAATTTGTCCCCTAATCAACACACAACCAATTGAGCAAATAGTTAAGGTGGTCCGCAAACTACTATCCAGTCCCGGGCACATCTGGAACGCGTTCTCATTTCTCTCCTGCCACCGACAAACCTTATCCTTCACAAGCAAACAAAATGCTCAAATGTGCCCAAACCTTTGCTTTCATTCACTAAGAAGGCGATAAAGTCCTTCTTCTGCCTTTTTAGGTGTCAGTTTTCTTTTTGGATTTCAATGCTGAGTCTGTAGGACTCTGTTGAAGAAGCCCCAGACTTTGGGTTCTCCCCTAGTAACTCCTTAGGGCAGCTAAGTCAGTCCTTCAGTGGACTCTGCTGTCCAACTTTCAACTTTTTCTCCAGCAGAAGCCAGAGAGAGAGAGGACCTAGGAAAGAGGAGGAAGCGAGAGGGCAGATTCTTGAGGGGCCAGCACTGGGGCTGTGCTGCATCACTCAGGTGAACTGTGAGGTAAGCAACGTGCAACTGGATACAGGGCTCAAGCCACTGGATGCCCACGCTGTGAGGGAGCCTGCCTGTCGAGGGCTGATAACGGAGACATGTGCACATGTCCACTCCCCAGGGGCCGGAGCCGTCTTTGGGAACAGCCTGGACCCACCATCTACTGAAATGAAATGTACAAATAAAATACCTCTTTATAGCTCACATTTCTAAAACGAAGTTTAAAAAACTGCCCAGCAATAAAGTAAAATAAAACACTGATTCCACTTCAGTCCTGTTTGTGAATACTGATTGTTGGGAAATTAGTAAATGGAAAAATAAAAAAAGAAAATAAAAATAGAATTACTTTATTAATCTTTGAAATCAGGAATTCCAAAGGGTGCCTTTACCCCGGCTCGTGTTGTCAACAGCACACCGACTTGTCTCCTCTCCCTAGGAGACTTGTGATGAATGCTCCTCCTTCCCCCTAGACCCTCCGAAAAGGGAGGAGCAACTTTGGTAGATGATGAGGTTGGAATATTAAGCTTGTACAAACAAAATAAAGCTTCATACTGCAATCTGGAAAAGATGAGGAAGCAAAATGCAAATAGCCAAAGAGCCTCTTTTATATCATCTCTGTGCAGCAGCAGGAAAGGGACAGAGAAGACCTAAGCAGGTTGGGGGCATGGGGTAAAGGGAAGGTAAAAGATACACGTGTGCTCTGTTGGGGTATATAATGCATCAGCTGAATGTTCCCACTGCCAAGTTCCATCAAAACCCAGAGGATCTGCTTTCCTGTTGTCCCAGTGAAAGTCTGCATTGGCTGATTGGCAACCATCTACTGCCACATCTGTTCGAAGGTTTTGGGAACTTTGAGGCAGCCAAAAAAAAAAAAAAAAAAAAAAATACTATGGACCCCTTGCAGTGCTGGTGGATGCTTCACCCTCAATCACGCACCCAGGAGTGGTGAATAGGTTGTTTCTCTGTGTGTTTGTGGTTCATCTTTTAGTGTGAGCAGGATCTGAAAAAGAAAAAGGCAACCATTAAAATGAATGAAATGACAGCAGGGGTTTTACTTACAGGCAGCAATGTCTGCTTTATCTAACATCACTGAAGAATAAAGACGTGGTGGCTCAAATAAATGAAGTTCACCTCCAAGTACAAAGCTCTTAATTTTAACCACTTCTGTTGGAAACCTTCCATGCTGTTTCTTTTTTGTGTTGTTCTCGTTCCTTTTTTTTTTCTTGGACAAAAACATTTTATCTTTTGCTTTTCATATAAAAAATTCTAAATATGCCCATCTTTTCTAGAAACACATTTGCATTTTTAAAGTGCATGAAAAAAATTTTTGCATGTATGCTTTTGAGGTTTTCTGAATTTTCCCTCAATGTCAGGTTGTCAGCAATCCTTTGCCTTCTCTACAACCCCACAATCCCAACAATATACACCTATATGCCCACCATCTAGTTTAGAAAAGGAACTAGCATCCCTGCTAGACCCTGCCAATTCTTTTCCATTCTCACCATCCTGAATTTTGTGTTTATCCTTCCCTGGTTTGCTTTTAAAAAACAGGTTTATGATCGTTATACCACCATATAACATACTGTTAAGTTTTATGTGGCTTTGAATTTTGTAGTGCTCCTGTGATTACATATGCGATCTCAGTGTACTTCTGGTAGAAGTTCTTTGGGTATACACTTAGGAGGGGAATTGCTGGGCCATAAACACTTGCATCTTCAACTCTCTAATGCCATCTTATTTTCCAAAGTGATTATACAATTTACACTCCCTCTGGCAGTGGATGAGTGCCCCCACTTCTCCACATCTCTACATGTGGAGAAGTAAGGAGGTTAAGTAGCTTTTCAAGCATCTATTGTGTAGACGTGTTTCTTCTCATATGAAGTGCATGGATATGTCCTGTGCTTATTTTCCTATTGAATTGTTATTTATTGATTTTTTAAAAAAACAGTTTGAGAAATAATTTACATATGGTAAAATTCATTCCTTTAACATCTACAACTCAACAGCTTTTAGTATATTATATTCAGAGTTGTCCACCCACTATCATAGTCAATCTTAGAACATTTTCATTACCCTACACCTCTTCACCATCACCTCCTACACCTCTCATCCTTCAGCTATAGGTAATCACTAGTCTAGTCTACCCTTTGTCTCTATAGATTTGCCTATTCTGGACATTTCCTATAAACGGAATCCTACAATGGTCCTTTGTGACTAGCTTCTTTCACTTAGTAAAATGTTTTAAGGGTCATCCATGCTGTAGCAAGCACTACTCTACTCCTTTTTTATGGCTAAATAATATTCCATTCTGTGTACCGGCCGCATTTCATTATCTACTCATCAGTTGTGGACATTTGGGTTGTTTCTACCTCTTGGCTATTACTAATAGTTTTCTATAAACCATGATGTACAAATATTTGAATTATGTTTTCGCTTCTCTTGGGTATAGATACAGAAGTGAAATTAATTGCTGGGTCATATGGCAGTTCTTTGTATAACTGTTTAAGGAACCGTCAAACTGTTTCCAAAAGCAGTTGCACCATTTTACACCCCTACCAACAGTACATGAAGGTTCCCATGCCTCTTTTCCATTATAGACATGCTGGTGGGCATGAAGTGATACCCTGCTGTGTGATTTTTCTTTTTCTTTTGGTACAAATGGGATCTCGTTGTCTTGCCCAGGCTGGTCTCAAACCCTTCAGCTCAAGTGATCTTCTGTGCTGTTGCTGCTGACCACTATGGTTTTGATTTGTTTCCCCAGTGGCTAATGATATTGAGGATCTTTTTATATGCTTCTTGGCATTGTATATATCTTTTTTGGCAAAACATCTGCTCTGTTCCTTTGCTCCTCTTTAAACCTGAGTTGTCTTTTTTATTATTGAATTCTAAGTGCTCTGTATGTATTTTAGATACAAGTCCCTTGTCATATACATGATTTGTAAGTATTTTCTCAATTTCATGGATTATTGTTTTACTTCCTTGATAGTATCCTTCGAACAGGAAATTTTAAAATTTTGATATCCGGTTTGTCTGTTTTCTTTTTTGCTTATGCTTTTGATGTCATATCTAAGAAACTGCTTACTGAATTTCAGAAGTTCTCTGCTTAAATATCTGGATGCTAACTGGTTTTTATGTATTACAAACATCTTCACCCAGTTTGTGACTTGTCTCTTCACTCCATGGTTTTCTGAGACAGCGTTTTGCTCTGCTGCTGAGGCTGGGGTGCAGTGGCAGAATTATGGCTCACCACAGCCTCAACCTCAAGGGCTCAGGCAATCCTGCCACCTCACGAGTAGCTGGGACCACAGGCATGTGCCACCACACCTGGGCTAGTTTTTAATTTTTTTTTGTAGAAACAAAGTTTTGCCATGTTGCCCAGGCTGGTCTAGAACTCCTGGGCTCCAGAAATCCTCCCCCCTTGGCCTCCCAAAGTGTTGACTTTACAGATGTTAGCCACTGTGTCCTGCCTGGTATTTTTTCAAAGAGATGGTTTTATAATTTATTAATTTATAAGATAAGAGGTGCTCAGGATAAAGATTAATTGTATTTAGATATGTAATTAACAAGCGATCTTTTCAGAAAAGTTTATTTCTTTATATTTATTTTCAAGACAGCATTTTGCTTTGCCACTCAAGCTGGAGTGCAGTGGCATGATCATGGCTCACTTGCAGCACCAATCTCCTGGGCTCAAGTGATCCTCCTGCCTCACCCTTCTGAGTAGCCAGGACCACAAGCGTGTACCACCACGCCCAGCTAGTGTTTTTTTTTTTTTTTTTTTTTTGTAGAGACGGAGTCTCCCTATGTTGCCCAGGCTGGTCTAAAACTCCTAGGCTCAAGTCAGCCTTCTGCCTCAGCCTGCCAAAGTGCTAGGTTTATGGGCACAAGCCACCACACATGGCCCAGAAAAGGTTTTTAAAAAATATTAGAAGACTTCTAGAAAATCCAGGAGAGTCACCATAAAAACAGGATGGTTGACCGGGCGCGGTGGCTCACGCCTGTAATCCCAGCACTTTGGGAGGCCGAGGCGGGTGCATCACGAGGTCAAGAGATCGAGACCATCTGGTCAACATGGTGAAACCCCGTCTCTACTAAAAATACAAAAAATTAGCTG